ATTTTCTAATATATTCCAGCTCAGTAACTCCATGCTGGACATTTTTTCCCTTTGGCATGTTTCTGTTGAAGCACAGCAATTCTAAGGCTAGCTACAGAATGTCTCAGGGAGATTGACTAGCTCCCCAATTAGTTTCTGATTATAATATTTAATGTATAATTTATGTCTCTTTACCATCTTGCATAAACACTGATTTATTAGGCCTATGGCAAACAGCAGGCCATTGGTGGACTACATCATGTCAGAGCACTTCAAGCCCTTCACTATGTATGACAAATAATAATAATAATAGTGTACCATCCCAACTAACTCATGGTAACCCCAGGACCACAAACGTTTCAAGTCAACAGGTGACGAGAAGTAATTTGCCATTGCCTTCCTCTGCATAGCAACCCCAGGTTTTCTCGGTGGTCTCCCATCCAAGTACCAACTGTGGCCAACCCTGATTAGCTTACAGGCTCTGATAAGGTCAGGGCTATTCAGACTGCCGACAGCCTCCCACCTTGAATCAGCTACTCACCAGGAATAGTGTACTACCAAAAAGAGAAACCTAGCAACAAACTCCAGATGTTGATTAGCTATATGATAATGCTGCTTGTGCAGATATGGGGACAGAGGTTGTTACTGGGTTTCTCTCTTTTTGATACTGCACTATTCCTAGTGAATAACTGACTCAAGATAGAAAGCTGCCATTAAGCACAGCCAAATCCTATGATATGCTCAAGAAATTTTAGCTATGTAGTAGATGAAGTGTTTTGTTTTTTTAAAAAAATATTTACTGGTCTATCCTGGCTTTATCTAAATCTTCATTTCTGAAGGGCAGTTTAACAGTTTTAAGAATGCCTGGTTTATGTCCTGTGTTTTTCCTGTCTGAAGAAATGGAGCACTTTATTTATTTATTTACTGGATTTTTAACCTTCCCTCCCCTGTACAACAGGGCTCAGAGTGGGTAGCACCATTCATAAAACAATATCAATAAAATGAAATATTAAAACAATGTTTACAATAATACTAATAACTGATCAGATGGCATAAAGAAGAGTACAACTTAGTGCCCCCTATCCAGGGGGGAGGGTAAAACATCCCACAGTTAGACAGATGAGAAAATTACAACCCAGAAATTGGGGGGGTGGGGGGGAGAAAAGCCAGTCTAGAATGGAGACTGTCGCTGCCTCAGCCGTAGGTCCTGCAGAACTGCACCAAATCCCACAGGTCCCGGATCTCACTTGGCAGGGCATTCCACCAGGTTGGAGCCAGTGCTGAAAAAGCTCTGGTTCTGGTTGAGCACAACCAGATGCTTTTCGGGCCAGAGATCACCAGTAGGTTGTTACCCACTGAGCGTAAAGCTTTTTGGGGGTATACCCGGAGAGCCCCCCCCCCGCACCTCCTTTAATCTCTCTGGAAAGACCCTTGAACTCAGGGATAGATTAACAATGTCTACTAGGTGTCTGTGTATTGCATTACTATTGGCTTTCACCAGCCATCATGAACAGGAGTCTAAGAGGCAAGTGGTAGGCTTTACAGCACCCATGATCCTGTCGACATTGTCCCAGAAAGTTGGCTACATTGGTCCCATATCAGACCCAAAGACAGGCAAGAGGCCTCTAGCTCTCTTACTGTATCAGTGTTGGTGGGCAGGTCCTGGTGGAGCACAAGAATTTATTTGCAAAAAAGCTCACAAAAGCCTCACAGCTGATTGCCAAATTAGTGACTGGTAGGTCAGTAGTTCAGCAGTTCGAGACCTGAGTGCCACATGATGGGAGTGAGCTCCCATCTCTGGTCCCAGCTCCTGCCAACCTAGCAGTTCGAAAGCAAGAAATTGCAAGTAGATAAATAGGTACCACTTTGGTGGGAAGGTAACAGCGTTCTGTGCGCCTCGGCATCTAGTCATGCTGGCCACATGACCATGGAAATGTCTTCGGACAGCACTGGCTCTTCGTCTTTGAAACGGAGATGAGCACCGCACCCTAGAGTCGGATTCAACTGGCTTTCGAGCAAGGGAACCTTTACCTTTAGGAAAGGAGTTACCATTTTTTTTAACCTATAGGAACCTTTGGAATTGTGACAGAGCACAGTGGATGCAGCCACAAAATGTCTGCTGCAGGAGGTGGAGGAGCCAGCCACAAAATGTCTGCTGCAGCTTACCTTCATTCACACAGTGAAGATTCCCTGAGCTGTGGTGACAGCTGCCGTTAAAGTAACTCCGCACAGGCAATCAAATCTCCAATGGCCAACCAGAAGTCCTGCCCTTTCTGGGAAACTGCCCCACTTGTCCTTGCCCACTTTCTAAAAACACTTGGCATGCATCAGAGAAGGTGTCAGTGGGTGCCATTGGGGACCCTTGTTGTAGGACTTGGCTGTGGGAAATTAGTTTATTTATTTATTTAGACTTATATCCCACCCTCCCCGCAATGTAGGCTCAGGGCGGGTACCAACATATAGGTCTACAATAATGCAGATTTGCAGTTAAAATAATATTTTACAATTAAGATCTGCAGTTAAAGTAGATCTATATATCTAATAGCCAAGTTGCCCCCTCCGTGCGGATCGCTAAATCAGCACGGAGGGGGCAGCTGGGGGGGAGGGGGAGGTTTGTGCACACGTGGGCCAGTCCCCACGTGTGCACAAAAATAAAAAAAAGTTAAAAAAAATTTCGGGGGGATGTTTAAATCCCCCCGAAAGTGCAAGAGCGTCTCCTGCGCATGCGCAGGAGACGCTCTGCAGCTGGCCTCGCCGCCGCCGCTGCGCCGCCTCCTCGGAGCAAGCGAGGGAGGGAGCGAGCCAGCCGGCAGGGAGGGAGGGCAAGGAGCCGCCGCCGCCGCCTTCTCGGGGCGAGCGGGCCAGCGAGGTCAAGGAGCCGCCGCC